GGTGGTGGTGCTGGGGATTGAACTCAGAGCCTTGGGCATGCAAAGCAAGCACCGTTCCAACTGAGGTATATCTCCAGCACGGCTTTCCTATTTTTTTAACCACAATCCACCCAAGTAAGAATTTACATCTTAAATTCAGACTCAGGTTCTTGTGCATAAGTAACCACAACTAAAACAAACAACAGAACAAAGAACCAAACTCAGATTTGCTGCTAGCAAATACGCTCTTTTTGTAGTGTATTTACACCATAAAAGGGGGTCTTGTACCTTTTGGGAGTGGCAGCTGCTGCTGTTACTCTGTATGGGCAAGACTTTATGATTCTTTGGCTGATTTGAAACTGAGAGATTTCACAAAACAATGTGGTTGACTGTTCACTTACACAGGTTCTACTAATCTTGAATTGAAAATATTGCGTGCACGCGGGTGGGGGTGTGCAGTAGTTCTAGAAAGTATAAGATTGAATTTGGCATGCAGAAGCACTACTCTAAATTCACATGAATGAAGTGTTGAGCAGGCATACCCTGCTGTGGACTTTCCTTATTTCAGATTCTCTTGTTCCAAGATTATTCCCCTGTGTCTCATTTGTGTGCTCTTTAGTTTTATGCCTGAAATGGCTGCATCCAAACATGTAGACTTCTTTTTCTTCTCATTATTCCCTAAACAATACAGTATCATATATATATTTATGTAACATTTATTAACATTGTATTAGATGTTATAAGCAACCTAAAGATTGAAAGTATCTAAGAAGTTGTATACAAATACTCTGCTATTTTGTGTAAGGGACTTTTGAGTATCTATATGTAGAGACCTGCACTTAACCCTTATGTGCAGTGCTATTTTATTTTTTACTTTATTCCACTGAAAAAAGGTTATGTCCCTACCCATGAAGCTGTTTTCACATTGGATGTCAACCTGTAGTTTGAAAAGCACTGCTCTGAATTATCTCCAGGATTCTCTGTTTTTTTTTCAAGAGAATTATGTGTTTTGCGTTGCACACTTAATTCTCTGCTAGATGCTACACTAAGTGCTTTAATATGTATTTTTTTATATTTAATTATTGGAGTTCTTTAAGTAACTTGAGACTCTTATTATTCCCTTTTTACCTACGAAGAAATAAATTCCTATAGTCGCTAAGTGGTAAAACTAAGATTTCCCAGGCAGTTGATTATTAGGCCTATGTTCTGACCATGATACTAACAAATTTATTATAAAAATTCAGTAGCTAATCAAAATCCTAACCCCAGCACTAAATTGGATTTTATACTTGAAAGATTCCTCAGCCAATATTGGTGACTCTAAGAATTTTTTTATTGAAGATTACTGCATTGCAGATTTGTTCTAGATTAAGGTAAGGAAAGACTACATGGTAAATCATTTACAAATAACAAGTTCGTTTTGCTTTAGAATGAGAATAGTAAACAGCATAAACAACACATTGTTACAAAAAAATGTAACAATGACAGTATAATTGATTTGTAAAGAAACAAAAGTGGGGGGTTGGTATAATGTGAAGGAGAGTGGAAGTAAAAACCAGGAAGAGAAAGAAGTGAGCCAACATTTATTAAGCACTGTTTTAGATGCTTTCGTATAGTAATCTACTAATAATTCATAAAGATGGCAAACAGCGTTTATTTTAAGGACTCAGAACCAGTTGCCATAGAGGGCCCTGTCTTCTCTAGAAATATTTGGATGAGTCTATATTCAGAAAGTAGAATTTCACTGTACAGAATGCTGGCTGTTTATGTGCTTTCTGATGCCCAAAGATAAAATTGAGATTCAAAATGTAAAAGACCATGGCTTAATAAGTCTTATAAAATTGAAATTTGATTACTTTTGTATTTAGCTTCTGATCATCTAAACAACGTTGACAGTTTTTTCCCTGATAAGTTAGCTCATTCATTATAGGGTTTTTAAATATCTCATAAAGTTCACATTAAATATTGTAACTTACATTGCCTCTAACTTGTTGCGTGGGTAGACAACATCACTTTGCCTCTATGCCATATAGTACCTTCTATTTAGATCTACATTCTATTTTTTTTGTTGTTGTTTTTATTTTTTATCCAACATATCTATTTAGTCTTTATTATCTTCAGTGTCTGCACTATTCTTCTGTGCTAATGTATTTTAAATAACTCACTGCTAGGTATTTCCTGGAAATAACTTGATTTGAGGGAAACAACACATTATAGATTAAGTTCGCACACTTAATTAGCCTTATGACTTTGGGCATATTCTTCAACTTCAGCATGCCCATCTGTAAAGTGGAATTAAAGCATCTAGCTCACCATAATAGACTGTATCTCTGTCCAAATGATCAATGCCAGTGTACATGATTACTAGGAAAGTATATGAATTTATTTCAAAGCATATCAGCTTAATTTCTCAGTGTCTATATCTATAAAATGAATACGTTGGTTTAGATAGCAGGGAACCTTTTTGCCTTATAAAATGTAGAGATAATTTGGTGAATTTGTGCTTTGAAGAAGTCAGTACAATATCATTTTTTGTTTGTTTGTTCCAGGGATTGAATCCAGGGGCATTTAACCACTGAGCCACATCCCTAGCCATCCATCCATCCATCCATCCATCCATCCATCCATCCTTCCATTTATTTATTTATTTAGACAAGTTTTAATTTTAAAAAATTATATTGGCAAATATGCCTTCAAATAAAGAGTAACAGACATCACAAATGTACCTGGGTAGTGGTTTCTTGGGAAATTTCCTAGAAAAGGGGAAAAGGAATGATCCCAAGTGCCTCGTTAGAACATCTGGAAATTCCAGTGGTTTCTAAGGTTTTGCTTTCAACAAAAGTTGGGAAAGTCCAGTCAAGTTATTAGCTGACAATAAAAGAAACCAATGACAGGCCAGAATGCTGTTATTTAAGTAAAATATGTGCAAAGAATTGGTAGACATCATAGAGCCACTTGGGAGGAACTCCCTTG